ATGTGAAATTTACTCCTTGTAAACCACAGTATGTACACACAGTCCCAAGTTTAGGGGCAGTAGCATGTGCTTTAAACCTTTAAATTGTGCCATACAAATCTGTGGGTTCCTCTGAAGTTTTTTTTTTTTTTTTTCCTGTGTACCATATATAATTGTTAAAAGACATGGAGAACAAAATGAAAACACAATTTGAGATGAGTACCGGTATAGTGTGTTGATATGGGTGCAAATGCGGATGTCTGAATTAATGAAGATGTCACATGCAGCACTAATAAGTACTGTACAGTGCAGTATAAACCTGTTTATATATTGTACAGTTCATTATTAACACTGACCACTTTCTAGTATTTCTTTAAGGGTATGAAACTGTAAAACATTTTCCAACACATGCCTTAGTGGGACGTCACATTCTATGGGTTCATATGCTTGATACTCCATCTCCACTGTGAGAGCTTGACAGTCATGTGTCTTCCATGATGTAAAACAAAGCAGTGACCAAGAGGGGAAAGAGATGCCCACTCAGGGCTACACAGCTTATTAATGTGCATCAACCAGAGTGACATCAAGTCACTCGGAGTTCGGACTATAGCACAAAACAAAATATCTATTAAAGTGGATAGCAGTTTAAGGCTGAAATGACCAAGTCTTACCTAAAAATTACATAGCTTTTATTTTGTTTTAAGTCTAGTTGGGTGAAGTTTGCTGTCATAAAGTGCTTGTGCTGTTGCCTATTTGGATTTTGACTGTAGCACTTTTTCACCCCATATATTACCTGAACCTCCTTGTTAGGGTAGTACTGTAGCTAGTGTGTTTAGCGTGCTGTTCTTCTGGCCCATGTTTGATCCCAGGGCACACCGAACTGGGGCCAATGTTGGTAGAAGAAAGATTTGTCTCTTGACCTTACACCACTCTGGCAGCCTGCATAGATCTAGCTGACTAGGGAGGCCTTTCCTTGTGTGGGGAAGGTAGTACAGTATGTTTTACCTCAGTAGATTTCTAAATGTATAGAAATGATGCAGTATTTTCACTCACGGAGATCACCTCAAGGTAGATGTGGATTATTCTGACTACTGTACTGTACTGTACACTGACTCACCTGATGACAGAGGAGGAGTTGATGCTGCCATGGAAGAACCCAACAGGCTTTTGGTTTTCTTCACACACAGATTAGGAGGATTTAACTTGGCTCAAAAGCACAATGACTGATTGTTAAGAAGTACTTGTTATGTCTTCATTCTCTTCCAGATATCAAGTGCTGCCTAATGTAGAAATGCTTTGAGTAAATCTTCCTATAGCTACATCATTAAGAAAAGGTCCAAGTCAAACTCTTTTAATATCCCACGTCATTTAGTTATATTTTAGGCCACACAGATATGGTGATATTAAGTGAGTTTGTTTGTAGTCGGTGATATTTAACTGGGCCGGTCTTTGGTTATATATTGGACTGTACACTAAGGCAATACTTTTTCACTAGTTAGGGCAATACAATTCAACGCTATATCAGTCCATTAGTCGATTACAAGATGCTGCAGTGAAGTTTAGACTGGATAATGTTATGGAGAGATCAGTCCCAAACATGGTATATAGTGTACAGGTATGTCATTTAAAAATCGTTTCATCATGTGAAGATTAGGCACCCCAGTTTTCACCTGATGATTACACCACACCTTAATGCTCATGCTAACCTACTGCTTCCTCCCTTCCCCCTCAGGTAGAATTAAGGTGTTTAATAAGCTGCAGTGCTTCATCGTCATGTAATAGACTTTATCATGTGAAGAAGTGGATAAGTCATGAGCAATCCTGAGGAAGGGTTGGTAAGGGTGGTATTAGTTGGTAATACTGTTTGGGGCATCCACACATCTGATCTCTCAAATATTATAGATAGTACACGCTGGTTTTTATTATACTGGACGAATAACTCATAAGATTTTAGTGTTTCTTTTCTATTAACTGTCCAACTTTACACTGTATTATATGTTTATTGATTTTAAGGTTATTAAATTTTAAAATAGGTCATGTAATTTAATGACACTGTTTAACGTTAAGTGCATTGACTATAATAATAGGTATAATGTATATATGTTAAGTTAGGTCGGTAAATATTTGTTTAATGGCTGTGGCTCCGATTTCTTATGAGAACAGGTTTTTCGTTTCTTTTTTTTTGTGTGTAGACAACACCTTAATACTGTACAGTACAGGTACACAAAAAAAAAATATATTCTCATAATTTAAAGTTACAAATTACTGTTGTAACCTAACCCTACCTAGCCTAACACCACAGCTTTTAAACAAATATTAACCATTAGGTCAGTGTTAAACTCATGACCATGTTAGCAGTCAGGTCTCGCACACTGGTTTTATCCTTATCAAGAACGGCATCAGATAATAATTACTGTACGCCCTTTCAGCCTTCCCATGTTCAGCAGACACACGTGACACGATAATGTTGTATTAAAATTTAAGGATAACAGTTGTATTGTTGGGTATACATGTGACAGTGTTGATATACATGACAACAGCTTATAGTGACTGTTGATATACATGACAACAGCTTATAGTGACTGTTGATATACATAACAACATCTTATAGTGACAGTGTTGGTTTCACACATACTAGGAATTCATATGCAGGTGTTCCCCGACTTACGACGGGGTTAGGGACCTTAATCCAGGTCGTAAGTCAGAATGGTCGTAAGTCCGACATAGATAAAAAAATTCAAAACAATTTTTTTTTTTTTTTAATTTACAATGAAATACAGTGCAGTAAAACTAATAAATAATGAGGAATGGATACAGTGTGACTGAGCACTTACCTTTAATGTAGTCAGCTGAATGCACACGGGGCCCCCATAATTTTCTAATTATACATGGAGGCTACATTAACTGGAAACTTTTCGGTATAGAAAATGCGCGCGTCTTTTGAAAAAAAAAAATTGGTCACAACTGCGGCGGTCGTAAGTCCCGACGGTCGTAAGTACCGATGGATGTAAGTCCAAGCAGTCGTAAGTTGGGGACTACCCGTATTGTAGTCATGTTTACTATATTTAATGGTGTATCAGTAACTACAGGGAAGTATTTTGACTTGGGATGTTGCAGTTCACATTAATCATGGTATCACCCAAACAATTTTTGTCTGGTCCAGAGCGGCGACTCTGCCGAAGACCTGGACCCTCAGCCTGGGTGTGTGTCGTCATTAGTGACTACTTCTTGGTCACTTGCCTTGTTTCCTGTCTACTGCTGCTTTTAGTTTTTAAATTTCACTTCATAATGTCTCAGATTATGAGAGTTATGGCACAGAGGTCACCAATATTACAACTAGTGACACATATGATTAAACCTTTAGTCCATCAACAAGTGATGTTTAACAATATTCATAACTGGGTCAAGAACAGCCCAGGTTTCTCATGCCTCACTCCTAACTTGCTATTGTTATGTGTGCCAACAATGTTATGAATTAAATTTTGTTATGCAGGTTCATGTCCTGCCAAATTTTGTAACAATTTCCTTCCATGCTCGTGTGCTGTGAGTCTCGGAGTGTTGTGGTGATCGAATGTCTGCGTCCAATCACCCAGCCTTACCTCAAACCTGGCCTCGGTGAACACCCAGCCAGGGGTGTAGAAACTTTGGATTGTGACTGTACATCTGTAGCTTATTGCGGAAGCGCTTAAAATATATTGGGACCCCCTCCAACGGTAGCACTGTCCCGGCTCAGTCAAGCAGAACACTGCCATTGTTTTTGCTTTTAATTTTTAATTTTTATGAGTCTTTCTGTACTTGTTCTTTATCTCCAAACATGTCAGACTGTATTATGCTCGTTGGGGACACCTGAGATATAATGGGTTCTCTGGCAGTTAAGATTGAGATTAATTAATGACAAGTTTTCACTGCCCCAGAAATATGTTCAATCCTTTGTGTCCTCCTGAAAGTTGTGAAATTAATTCATCATTTTTTACTGACCATCATGAGGGCCTGGGGGGGGGGGATATAATAATAATAATAATTACAAAAAATAAATAATCAATAAAAAATAAAACGATAAAAATAATAGTAATAACCATAAATTAATACGAAAAAAAAATCAAGTGTGTATGTTATGTTGTCAAAGTAAGATAAACTAATTCTCAATGCCATTATACTATTTTATTACATGTGGGTAATGTTATGATTACAAAAAAAAATCCACTACTCCACTAGAAAGATTGGTACAGTACAGTACAGGCGTCAGAATACAAAAACTGTATAAAGTGGATTTCCTTTCACGGTTGTGTCGGGACATTAAGGATGTGAGTATACATAATTATTTGTGTCTTGGAATCATTTCACTCGTTCTCTTTATTCTTTATCACTTCCTGTTGCTTCATACATGAGTCTTACACAACTCTACCTTACTTTTGAGTATATTTACACTCCTTGGTTCCCACACACACACACACACACACACACACACACACACACACATTATTATGGATAGTTAAGTAGTAATACATGAAATCAATCCCATATAAACATTACCAAAAAGGAGGGTAAACAAAAGCTCACTGTATTGTTGTGTGGTGTTTTGACTGTGTTGTACGTCATGTAGAGACAGTGAGTTTCTCTACCTCCAGATGTTTGTGTCTGTGTTTAGCCCAGAGGCAGGAACAGTGGCAGACATCTTAATGCACCGGTCTTGGTGTATTAATACAATTTGTGGTAATTTATGAGGGAGTTCTGTCTCTCTTATTTTTAATGGTGTAATTAGTAACATTGTCATGCCATTAAAGACCTTAGTTGTTGAAGTGGAGTAATAAAGTCAACAAGAAGTGTATTTTCTATGTACCTGAACACAGTTGGAGTCCCTAGATATTTTAGTTACTGTATTTATAGAGGAATACTTAGCAACAGATATCACATGTTTTCAGGAAGTTAAAAAAATTCTACCTCCTACTGGTGATTTCATAACTCTTCCACCTCTCAATATGTTTCAGGTAACTTTAGTAATGGTGGGTTTTGTGTTACAGATATATGCCGTGTGTGCAGGTGTGAGGGCACCAGCGACCGACCACTCTTCCACCCCTGTATATGTACCGGTAGCATAAAGTTCATTCACCAAGACTGTCTCGTACAATGGCTCCGCTACTCACGCAAGGAATACTGCGAGCTCTGCAAACACCGTTTTCACTTCACGCCAAGTATGTATCTTCCTGGAGTCTTGTTTACCCCAGGCGATTGTGGGGAACAGTAACGCATGTGTCAGTGTCATTCTTTAAGGTAATTGAGGTTTAAATTGGTGTAAATTTTGATCCTTGTAATCCATAACTCACCTAGTGATTTTATTGGAACTGGTGTCAGAGGGTGAGAAGTTTAGTTTATGGATGTATAAATAGATCTCAATTCATTTAGGGTGGGGTATTTCTCACTGTTCCCCCAACCACCTCATTTCTCTATGTGTTTACATTGTTTTCTGACATGTGAGGATTATAGTTTATGGAAATTTTATTAATAATATCTTGGCTAACCCCTTAAATGGTTGTCATCATTAATGGAAGCTAACTGTAGGGACGGTGGCCATCATTAGTGGAAGTTAGCTGTAGGGACGGTGGCCATCATCAGTGGAAGTTAGCTGTAGGGACGGTGGCCATCATCAGTGGAAGTTAGCTGTAGGGACGGTGGCCATCATCAGTGGAAGTTAGCTGTAGGGACGGTGGCCATCATCAGTGGGAAGTTAGCTGTAGTGTTCATCAGTGGAAGTTAGCTGTAGGGATCATCAGTGGCATCATCAGTGGAAGTGGTCATCATCGCTAGATGTGGCAGCCATCATCAGTGGAAGTTAGCTGTAGGGATGGTGGTCATCATCAGTGGAAGTTAGCTGTAGGGACAGTGGAAGTTAGCTGTAGGGACTGTGGTCATCATCAGTGGAAGTTAGCTGTAGATGTGGCAGCCATCATCAGTGGAAGTTAGCTGTAGATGTGGCAGCCATCATCAGTGGAAGTTAGCTGTAGGGACGGTGGTCATCATCAGTGGAAGTTAGCTGTAGGGACGGCAGCCATCATTAAAAGTTCCATATTACTGTACTTGCATTCCAGTTTAACCAATATGGGAGAGAAGTGAATCTTTAACCACTGCTAAGAAATTGGTCCTGAGGATATTTGCCAAACAGTGAATAACTATTACTTGGTAGTTATTCATATCCATCTCTTTGCAGTATATTCTCCAGACATGCCCAAGAGATTGCCCATAGCAGACATTCTCACCGGCCTGGCACGGAGTATGGGGACAGCAGTGCGGTACTGGTTGCACTACACACTCGTGGCCTTGGCTTGGTTGGGTGTTGTTCCCCTCACAGCCTGCAGAATATACCGGTGTCTCTTTACGGGCTCTGTGTCCTCTGTCCTCACGTTACCGCTTGATATGTTGTCTACGTAAGTCAATAAACCCGCCCACGACTTTGTTTATGTAGGTATGAGGAGTGATGTGCCGATACTGGATATATTTATACTGTGGTAATTATTGGGTTGAGTGGCAGGAAGATGACATGACCTGTTTATAACAAAATATTAGACTTGAGAGTGATTACAGAAACGTGACACTCTTACAGTAATCATGTTTCGTTGATATCTTTCTTCTGTGTTCAAATAAGATTAAGTGATGTACCAGTTAATGTTTGATATGATTTGTGGAGATGAATTTTTAGTAATACAAATAACTTTTTGTTCCATTTAGAGACAACTTAGTGTCAGATATCTTCCATGGGTGCTTTGTGGTGACCTGCACATTAAGTGCTTTCATCAGCTTAGTGTGGCTACGAGAACAAATTCTTCATGGTGGAGGGCCAGATTGGCTTGATCAAGATGTACAACATGAGGTATATACACTACAGTATATATTGTTAGACCCGAGACATTAGTGGAGTGAGTCAGAGTGAAAGACCAATGCTTAATGTACTGTACAAGATGGTGTTATTTACCCCAGAACCCTAAACAATTACTGCGGGAACCCAAGAATCAGAAGCTTACTGAAGTCTCGGTTAATGTTTATTCCAAATCCAAAAATATAATGGATGTATTGTATGGTAATTATTAAGGGTTCTTGAATAAAATAAAGACCCTGTATTACTGAAAGACCTCGCTTGTTCCTTAGTCCGTGACAAGGGAGGGCTGGTAGGTCTTCCTTGTACTGTACAGTCAGTCACCCAATCTTATCAAGGCCTCAGTACTCGTCAACCTTGCAAAATTTGTCAGATAAGTTTAAATTCGTCACTTCATATTTAGTAATGAGTCATATAATGATTCATGGGGTTATATTCTGATGGCCTGAAGATTAGACACCCCAGCTTATTTTCACCTGATGGGGGGGGGGGGTTAGTGCTAGAATTTTTAATCATCTGGTGAAAATAAACTTGGGTGTCTAATCTTCAGGTCGTTAGAATATAGTCCATGGATCATTATTAACAATACAGTATATTTACACTAGATTATCCCAAATAATATAGTTCCCTGGGCAATGATTGAGAATAAAAGAATCATTATGAGAGATAGAGTAGTGGATCTGACACACACCTACTCTCAATTGATCTATCAAGTGTTCTCTCTACAGCACGAACCTCCTGGAAATTTTGGGCTGTTAAATCAAGGCAATGGCCAGGTTCCCGTGCAGCCACCTCACGACGACGCAGCAGCAGCGCCTCCCATAGAAGAGGTCAATGATAATGCCGCCGAGGTCATTGACGACCCACTCCATCATGAAGTGGCTCCTGTGCCTGCTAATCCAAACATTCCAGAAGGTTGGTTGGTTGATTAGTTAGCTAGTTGGTTGGTTTAATTAGCCCATCGTGAATGTTACTTTGGTTGAACCATCGTGAATGTTACTTTGGTTGAACCATCGTGAATGTTACTTTGGTTGAACCATCGTGAATGTTACTTTGATTCACTCATTCTGAATGGTAAGGTCGCTGAAACATCTCCGCTTGCGTGTTGTGTTGCTCGGAGAACTCCACCTCTTGGGGAGAACGGATGGAAGAATTTCAAGTTCGGAGATTGGCAGATCATCAAATGTTGTTTCAGTTCAATATGTTAAGTTATATATTGAGTTGAGGGGTGTGTGTGTTCAAGAAGAAAGGATCACCTGAAGATTAAACACCCCCAGCTTATTTCACCACAAGGTTAGGTTACCATTAGGATGTTTCATTATGAATGGGGATTCCTAATCTTCATGAGATCTGAAATATTAAATGAGGCCCCAACATATAGTGAGTATAAAAAAAAAGATATATTAGAAGCTTTGTGAAATATTAGACAAATATTATCCTTGCTGTATTGCCCGAGAAACTGTATCCCAATGTTCCAGGTAATGAAGGTGAACTACTACATGAAGGTGTACCGGGTAATAATAATTTAGATCCAGGAGCAGCAGCAGACGATCTCAACTGGAACCCCATAGAGTGGGACCGAGCGGCCGAGGAGCTCACGTGGGAGAGACTCCTAGGCCTCGACGGCTCCCTCGTATTTCTCGAACACGTGTTTTGGGTCGTGTCTCTCAACACCATGTTCATTCTTGTGTTTGGTAAGGGTCGACCATTCATCTCACGTGTTTGTACTGTACGTATGTAAGGTAATGTTTCTCCACAGAACATGTACACTTGAGTTTCTGTAACTTCTTTGATGTTAGGTTAGAGTTTTAATATTAAAATCTTAGTCTGTATTAATAACAGCTTGTTTATTTGAGGATCACATTGGAAATAATTATTACTACTGTACTACTTTGTGTTGTGTTGTGGGTAAATATTTATCTGTGTGTTTGTATTGTATTAACCTTTACTAAATAAATTCAGATCAAATCAGTCAATGTAATGGTTGTGGGTTATGAATGGACACTTGAGTTCTTGAAGACATATTTTGTTATTAAATGAACATTCAGAAATATTTGGTATAATGTTCAGATGTATTTATTGTAATGTTCAGAAGCACTTGATGTATGGTACTGCTAAAATGTCGAGAATAACTGCTCTGTTAATCCCTTGAATGTAATCTGTTTTGTTTATGAATATTTTTGCTCTAAAATTTTCCCAAAACTGTTAACGTTGCTCTCCATTCTAAACCGATTAATCAATTTCCGCAGCGTTTTGTCCATATCACATCGGACACTTCACTATAGTGGGGTTTAAGCTCAAAGGATGGGTGTCAGCGTCGCACTTTGAGGGGCTGCTGACGGCGTTGTGTGGGTACTGTGTTGTTGGTCTGTGTCTGGTGTTGCTGCACACATTGGCAGCCATCATCAGGCTCAACAGGTGAGAAGGAGTTCATTTGTTGGGATTTTTTTAATGAATACTGTACAGTTATTACTTACTCAATTTCAGCTACAGAATACAATTAGGCCAGGCATTTTATATTATGTTTTACAGGCCCGCCGACAGTTTTTGTTTGAAGTGTTGATAGCACAGGGGTTTTGTCCCAAGATTAGATATAACTGATGAAACCTTATGAGAGCCCTTCGGCATATGTTTTCACCAAATTTCACGACACGACTTTTGTCTTTCATTGTACAAAGAAATGTATATTCCCTTTATGTGTTTGCCCTTAGGACAATTATTTCTTTTACCTGTACTGTATATTATATGTGTGTGTGTGTGTGTAGACATATGCAAATAAACAATAATTGGAAAATACTCACAAATAATCAGAAACAAATTTATTAAAAATGTGACAGTCTACCCTCAAGTCCGTGCTATGTTACTAAAGCACGGACTTGAGGGTAGACTGTCACATTTTTAATAAATTTGTTTCTGATTATTTGTAAAAGTATTTTCCAATTATTATTTATTTGCATGTGTTTTGTGTGTGTGTATCTACACACACACACACACACATATATACAATACAGGAAAAGGAAATTACTATCTCCAGAATGAATGGCTCCCTGTCCCAGCCTTGAGAATGCTGGCAACTTTAAAGCTACCCACAGACATTCTTGGGTACATCCAGGGTGTCATCCACGAATAATAGAGGACTGTGAAATAAAAATCTGTGAACTTTGGGGGGGGGGGCTGTATTATCAAATCAACTTTCAGTATGCAACTATTCAAGCAAAAATTGCACACAATAAGTGAATTAGTATTTAAATGCTATACAGTATTACAATACTGTATATATCTACTATAGAGGTCCTGGTAAAAGTGTCTGGCTCTGATTATAGAAAATGTTTAAGAATGGCCAGCAAAGATTTATGAAGTTTTAAGTAATGAATAATTTTACAAGAAATCATATTGAAATGGTATGTAATGAAGTTTTAGATTCTTAAAACTTCTCCATGATAAATTACTGTGTTGTTATACTGTACTGATGTTTCATATACTGAAATGTTCTTGTAACAAATGCGTATTAATATCTACATATACTTTAATTAAAATACAGTAATTGGTTTTAATGTTTTAATATGATAGTCTACATTTGATAACAGAAACTATTAATCTTGTATGTTATTTGTCGTATACAGTATATTAGTCTCGTTAATTCCCGGGTTAGGCACCAGAAGACAACATAAGTAATCATATAGTAAATTATAGTTTAACCGACTGAAATGGAAATAATTAGCTCAGTTCCAAAGACCAAGAGATACCCATAAATTGTTCCAAAACCTTTTTTATAAACTAAACCTCATACATAATATAGTACCACCTAGATATTGTTCAGAAATTTGTTCTATACTGTATTAAATAATATTGTGTGGGTTATGCCAGTACTGTACACCAACATGAAGACAGGCAGGCACTGGGTTGGCTGTCACCACACTATGTCAATAATAAAAAAATTCATACCACACAATAACTTTGGGGGATTTTTTTATTATTTTTTACTTTATGATAATGTTTTATTAATTAACCCAGTACCAAATTAAACACTACAGCAGTCAGTTCTTGGCTGAGGAATACGAATATTTGTCCTTGAAATTTAACAAAAGAGGAATCAATAGAGGTACAGTACTGCAAATTATCGAGACTCACTGTACTGGTACTATCATAAAGTACCTGCAATAACATGAATTTAATGTCTGAATTATTACACTTGTAGAGTATACAGTCATCAGTTTTCCCCGACATTGAAGTTTGAAAGTAAAATTGCATCAAACATGAAATATAATATATCTGACCTTACAACATAGGACACATTCAGCTGTGAGAAGCGTTCACCACATGTGTTGGTCTCTGTACACTCAACAGGTCCAAGAGAGTGTTGGGGTTGTGTTACGTGGTGGTGAAGGTCGCCCTGCTCAGTGTGGTGGAGATAGGCGTCTTCCCCCTCATAGGCGGCTGGTGGCTGGACATCTGCTCCCTCTCACTCTTTGATGCAACGCTCAAGGTGAGTAAGTCAATTGTGTGTAATGAGTGGGAAATGGAAAGGTGTGTGTGTGTGTGTGTGAAGAAAATTAAAAGCTTGTGTAGTACATCTTGGCTTTTTGAGTGCAATAGAGGAAGGCCATTAAGTACCTAACACACACCATGCAGGGAAGGTGTTCCTGGGGGGTTGAGACCCTCCCTTTTTAATCATAAAATTCCATTACCTTTTTCTTTAATGCAGTATTGTACTCGGGCATTTTTGTATAGTAAAAAGTAATTACTACTGACTTCAGAATATCTCCTAATATCAAGTGCACATGGCTTGAAAATGGCCTCAAAATGTCCATAATATTGGTCAAATTTAAAAAAAAATGGGGAGGGTCACAGCCCCCCACACCCCACAACTTCTTGGACACCCCCTTTTGATATTCCTGGATCTGCCCCTCTGTATAGACGTGTGCACCTCCACTGTCTGTTTTTGTGTGCGTCTTGTGTATTACGTATGGAGTGTAGTATTGGATGTACAGTGTATGATGTATGTTATGTAGTGTGTATGATATTTGATGATATTGGCAGAATTTTACTCAAGTTTTAAAATGTATTAATATATTACTCACCCACCCTGTATGTATGTATATAATGAATGAATGTATGTATGATGTATGTATGTACGGTGAAACCTCAATTTAATGGACTGCATGAAGAGGAAAGTCCCTTATACCGACGGTCCGATAGATGTGAGACCCTAATTAATGGACTATATGCAGAGAGAAATCCCTTATATGGAGGTTTTAATGTTTGTTTATATTTGTCGGTAGGATCGAGAGGTAAGCTTCAAGGCTGCACCAGGAACCTCCATGTTCATCCACTGGCTGGTAGGGATGGTGTATGTCTTCTACTTTGCCTCCTTCATCCTCCTCCTTCGGGAAGTCCTACGGCCGGGGGTCCTGTGGTTCCTCCGAAATCTTAATGATCCGGACTTCAACCCCGTACAGGAGGTGAGTTATGGGGATGTTTATGATGGCAATGTTTATTTTAATATACTTATGGGTAATTCTCTCCTCTCGTGTACAGTCAGCAAAAAAGTTCTCTAACAGATTTCAGAATGAGACACTGATGCTTGTGTCATCTCAGAATGGTTGGATATTTTGTAACAATATACAGTACAATATGTTGCTTGTCTGTTTAGTATTTACAGGTAAAAATAAATAAATAATATACAGTAAAACTTTCTCAAAGACCAATGTTCAGATTTGTCATTTGTTTTGTCATGTTTATGATACTTAAAGCGTTGAGAATGTTTGTTGCCAACTGTACACAGGATATATTAAACCACATCAGATTTAACTAAGAGTCTCTGTGGGTATCTGAGGACTGGTATTGTATGTGTGAATTAATGATGATAAAAACATATCGGTCACCGTCAAATGATTCCGTCTCCTTCAGATGATTCACCTGCCAATTGTCCGTCACACTCGACGCTTCCTGGCCTCCATGGTGATCTTCGGCTCCACGGTACTGCTCATGTTGTGGCTGCCCATCAAGATCATTCATGGACTGTGGCCCTCCTTCTTGCCCTACCATATCACTCTCTCAAGGTGAGTCTCGTGGCTTCGTGTAAACGTATTTGGTCCGCTGAAAATCTATGCCAAATTATATTGTATTTACTGTCGTGTTTCGTTAAGTCTAAGGGACCAAAGTCTTTAATACGACCCATCTGATAAATTATTTCATGTTAGCTTGATGGTGATGTTGTTTTGTTTTTATGTTATGAGTTGATGGTAATTTAGTCCATTGTCTGGGAAAAGTGACCCGAGAAGTGATGAAGATTGGTAACTATTTGCTATATTCATGTTACACACACACACACTCCTTTGTGTGTGTGTGTGTTTAAGCTTATATCTACTGTGATGTCATGTAGCCTTTATAGCATAACCTTTAGTGCAATAATGAGTCACCATTATGTAGACACTGAGGAACACTGATGGCCAATTGTGGTCATGGTGTATGATACAGGGTCATGGTGTATGTGCTTAGGATACCATTACTAATTTTTTCTCAAACGTAGCAGATTGTTATTGTACGTTAACGAGGGTGTCGCCTCGGTCAACCGCCGTTGGTAGATTTAAAACTCATATTGTTTTAATTTCATTGCAGTGATACACCAGTGAGTGAGTTGTCTTTGGAGTTGTTGCTGCTTCAGGTGATTCTCCCGGCCTTGCTAGAGCAGGGTCACACCCGCGTCTGGCTCAAACTGTTGGTCAGACATTGGTGTGCTGCTGTCTCACACGTCTTGGGCCTCAGATCGTATCTTCTGGGGGACGTGGCTCTTGACGCACAGGTTAGCACGTCCGGTTGGATTGTGCGTGTCGTTTATATAATTGATTGTTGCGTCTGCTCACACGAACGTCGCTGACATTTTTTGTCGTGCATCTAATTTAATGAAAATATGAAGTTTTAATCGTTATATTTCAGGGAGGCGGAGTAGTGATAGGCGGTGATACAGGAGGAGGTGTTGGTGAGGTTGGAGCTGGAGCTGTCCCACAGGTGGAGTTGGAGGAGCCAGCTGATGGGATAGTGAACCCTGTGGTTGGTGGTGGCGCTGATGCCTTGGCTGGAGGTCTTGGGGCTGCACATCAGGCGTTGCTACAGCGCGATGGTCCAACTGGTGGGTAGTTAAAGGTGTTACTTGTAAGATTTTTAAGAGAGTGGTAAATATAGTACAATACTACTGAGTTATGTGTCCCAGCAGCTAAATCCTCCTCACTAAGTCTCACTAAAGTATATTTAAAGAAGCTCAGGTAGCTGTTCTTTTCCAACTAATAGTGTATTGTTAACATTTAATTAAAGGAAAGTAAATATGAATTATTGAAGGGAGTTCTGTTATGAAATGATGGTAAGTATATTAATATTACCGGCACAGTTATCTAGGTTGTGCTGCTCTGTTTATTGGAATATTTATTACCTGAAGGATGAGGTTTGTTGTGTATACAGTTAATAGAGGCAGTTGTTGTGTGTCAATATTAATAGATATGACTGAGAAAAGGAAACACAGGACCATTATTTATTTCATGAATTATCAGCTAACTAACCACTTGGGCTGTTGGTTTGTTCTAGATTATGACTTTTATTGTCCAGTTTTAGTACAGGAGTAAATGGAGTAAATCTGGAGAAAACCTGCCGTGTCAGATAGCAAGAGCCACACTGGCTAACACCCTTCTCACATCTGTCCCAGGGTTGGGGATTGAACCCAGGATACATTGGTGAGACACACATTACAGCTGCACCACCAACACCTACAAGTACACTAGCAACAGAGAAATTGTACCTTTATCCCGTCTGGTCCTCCAATACAGTCGACCCTCGTTAATTCGGACCCCTTTAATCCGGATTTTGGATAATTCGGACAAAATCTGAACGAACCTTTTTTTTTTTTTTTTATAGATTTGTAGGAATATTACCAATGTGGACCTTAAGCTAAAATGCTGGTCCACCCACTGCTGGGATAAAACACCAGCGTCTTTTTGGTTAAATGTAACATCTCCACCACTAGTGTGGGGGGGATGCAACTTTTAGCTTCAGACATGAAAAATATTTACCAGTTACTGCCAGTAAACAATGGAAATGTAAAATATGTACCAATTAGTAATGAAAAGTTGTGCAGTTCCTTCTGCAAATGAAGCTCACCAACTTACAATAGTCTATGTTGAAGTTCTTAGCACAGGCTAACTTACCATATCATATACGGTATCACAGTTCTCATTGATCTACAAAAAATACCGGTAATAAAAACCTTTTTGATATTTCACACTTAATATAATACCCGGTAATCTACTTCAACCTCCTATTGTTTACAACGATGCATGACGCACCACCAGCGGTTGAGTATCAGCTAGACGGTACACGTGTTTTTCGAATTGTTTTCGGTTAAAAGCTGTTACATCACGTGTATATTTTACCTTAACTGTGCCTGAATGAATATATTCTCGGAAATAAATAGTAGTTTTGCTGAAACGTGATGTATTTTAATGTAAAATAGGATAAAATACATGACGAAAACAAAAGATTTTACCTAACCTTCCGATGTTCAAGAGAAGTTACTCGTTTTTTTAATAGTTTTCGGTTAAAATACTGTTATATTACAATGATATTCTATTCATTCTGTGCTTGATACAATACATTCACGGAAATTTAATATTTTTGCTGAAATGACGTACGTATTACAGTGGAAAGTGGGATAAAATCGTGACGAAAACAATGACTTTGAAATATAATGCAATATTATCCCCTAAATCGGTTAATTCAGACAATCGGCTAAAACGGACACCCTTCCCCCCCTATTAGTCCGAATTAACGAGGATCGACTGTACTGTACTGCACTTTACAGCTGTGTGCTGAAGTGAGGTAACTAGGTCTCATGGTGCATCACAGAGTTGATATCTGTAACTTGTTCAGTCAGTCATTGAAGGATAGTCTAATATTTATCATGTTAGGGTAAATTTATATAAAGAAAACGTATTCTACTCTTGATAATAGTTTACACCCCAACAGGCTTCCAAGCGTACGTCCGCCCAAGATGGTTTGGTGTACGCATCTTGGGGTTGATCATCATGATGTGCATCAGCCTCACTGCAGCGTCAATAATGTGCCTCACTCTGCCTGTTCTTGTGGGGCGACAGTGCATGTACTTGGCGTTGGGGGACACTAAGGTAAGAGGAATTGTATTTTATTCGTAATCATTTATGTTTTTATTGTGATTAGTTTAAGCTTGAGTGGAGGTAGAACAGAGGAAGTAATTTGTTATAGATATCTGAGAGTGGATGTGACACCATATAAACTTCACACCTTAGCACCTGATGGGTCTGTTTATTTTTTAGAGCTCACAGGCAAGAGGTCACATGGCGGCAGATGTGAGAAATGTCTGGTGTGCTTCATAGCACCGTTAGTTATGAAAGTAGAATAACATAGTTTTTTTTTAGTTAGTTACCTGAGACTGTTCTCTATCTCCTTCATATTGGCTATAAGAAGAACAAAAAAGGCTAGTATCATTTGAGTATAAACCACATGATGTACAGGAAATATATCTAGTCACTTACTTCCTCCCCATCATTTTCTGAACCACCAATTCAGTTTTACCAGGAGGTAGTAAATTTAATTCTCAGAAGGATGGTGTAAAACAAATTGAAATGAGGGTAAAAGTAAATGTTTTATGGTAAATAAATGAAGATATAAAAATATGACTACAAATTTACCCAAATAATTATGATAAGTAATTTAATATATACTGTATTTTATATGTAAGTAATTTAATATATACTGTATTTTATATATAACTGAGAACTAAACCATTGTAGAGAAGAGGGACATACATTAGTGTGGAAGAAAAGGTAATAAATCCTCATGTGCCGAGATGCACTGAGTAAGTGCAGTAACCGGCTGTTGTCATCCCTGGTGTACCCCATGGCTCGGCAAACTAGGCTCCACCCTTAATCTACCATCAAGATTAATATATGTGTAAGACATCATGGACACACACACCCACGCAACACTGCTTCCATTATAATCTGTGTGGTATACCATCCGCCTCGATCACCCACCAGAGACACTCTTATCAATCATCTCATTACCACCTCAGACCACCTCAGAGTTAGGTACCCATGTGCCAAGTTAGTATTATGTGGGGATTTAAATGAAATTGACACCACTGATATCCAGGACCAGCTATCACTATCACAAGTTGTGACCTTCCCCACACACGGTCAAAACACCCTTGACCTTATCTTAACTGACTTAGCGGACCAGTACCAACCTCCTCAACCACTGCCTCCTGTCGGGTGTAGCACACACTTATCAGTGCTCTGGTCCCCTGCTGCCACTCCCACTCAAGTACAGAGACCCTACATCAAGACCTACAGGCCGATTACTGACTCTGCAGTACGCCTCTTTGGACAGTGGATAGTTCACTATCCCTGGACTGAAGTACTCAGCGTGGATGACGTGGAAACCAAATGGATAAATTATACCAACACCACCACCGAAGCTCACCACCACTTCTTCCCCGAGAAGTCCGTCAGATCTCACCCAGCTGACTTGCCCTGGATCACACCTCGGATCAAAAGACTTATGCAACAGAGAGACAGAGCATTTCATCTCAATGACCACATCCGCTACAGGTCACTTCGCAACAGAGTCATCCGCGAAATACGCACTACAAAGAAGTCCCACTACCCAACCAAATTACAACACCTGAAGCAGACCAACATCAGTCAATGGTATGGTAAGCTTAAAGAACTCTGTGGACTAAACAATATGACACACCCCCTCCCCTTCCTTAGCCACCTCACTAATGTTGACGCAGCTGAGCAAACAAATAACCATTTCGCTACTATATGCCAGACGCTCCCACGGCTTGACACAACCACTCTCCCTGCTTACCTACCAGCCCCCCTTCCCACTGACTTAGTAGAGGAATTTGACGTAGCAAAACGCCTGGACAAACTAAAATTAAAACGCTCTACCACCCCCATTGACTTACCAATGAAACTATTCAAGGAGTTCTCCCCGGAGCTTGCTAAACCCCTCTGCTCCATCATCAATGCTTCTCTCAGTCAAGCCAGATGCCCAGCTGACTGGAAGACCTCTTATGTATCACCAGTGCCCAAGTCAACCAGCCCACAATCCTTAAATCAGCTACGACCTATTGCAATCACCCCAATACCCAGCCTAATCTGTGAAAGTTTTGTGTTTGACTGGGCTTATGCTGATATTGCAGGAGTCGTAGACCCTCAGCAATTTGGCAACATGAAAACTTCCTCCACCACTCACTGTCTTGTCAGCTTTCTCGATTACATATACCGCCATCTCGAGAAACGAAAAACGTCTGTAGCTGTCGCCTTCATTGATTTCACTAAAGCGTTCGACCTAGTCGACCACAATATAATCATAAACAAAGCTATTGACCTCGGGCTTCGGAGAAGTCTCATACCATGGCTTACAGACTTCCTCAGTGACCGACGCCAAGCTGTACGCTTCCGAGGGGCTGTCTCCACCTTTCAGTCACTCACCTGTGGCGTCCCCAAGGCACCAAGATGGGACCACTCTGCTTCCTTATGCTCATCAATGATGCCCTAAGAGAAGCCCCTGCTCGCTGGAAATATGTCGACGACTCCACCATTGGGATCAGCGTCAACAATTCCGCTCCCAACTATACCGCCCTTCAGGATTTATTGAACAGTCTCCAAAACTGGGCCACCAACAACCATGTCACCATCAACCATACCAAGACAATGGTTATGCACATCACCCTCTCCTCCGACATTGTCCCACCTCCTTCCATTACCCTAGGTCCGAACACACTCCAGGTTGTAGATTCCACGAAGCTCCTCGGCGTCACCATAGACAACAAACTAAATTGGAAACCACACGTCAGTGAAGTTGTCAAATCCTCCAGTTTCCGTCTCCACCTCCTCCGCCGACTCAAGTCCCTCGGAGTTCCTGCACCCAGCTCCTCAGTGTTTACACAACATTCATACTTCCCAAGCTCACCTATGCCTCCCCCACCTGGTCTTCCTCCCTAAATGCCACACAACGTAAACACCTAGAAAAAGTGCAAAAGAGGGCATGCAAGATTATTCTCTCCCCTTCCTACTCCACATATCAAGAAGCGCTCAACACACTGACCCTTTCGACTCTCACTGACCATCACCACGGCCTCATCTGCAAATTTGGTAAGAAGCTTCTACACCATCCCCGACACCGGCCCCTACTACCACCTGAGATCCCCTGTCCGAGAATTGCTGTTCGACACCACAACCGCATCCAGCCCATACGTGCACGAACTGATCGCTATAAGAACAGCCCAGTCCCAACCATTGTAAAAATTATCAATAACATGTAATAAATCAGTGTATTCACTCCCAGTAAACACTGCTCCCTACACTGTCACTATGTTGAAATGAACTGTATTTTGAGCTGATCCCCATCTAAGTTACTATATGTCTTATTTGTGTCACTTATGTCACTTGTATATTATTTGTAATTCGTAACCCATTCCCCAAATATGTAACTGTATATTTTCAGCCTTCTGGCTGCCAAGCTCTTTCAATAAACCGTTAATTATTATTATTATTATTATTATTATATATATATATATATATATATATATATATATATATATATATATATATATATATATATATATATATATATATATATATATATATATCATGTAGATCTACAATGAAAACGTGGATAAGATAAATCTTAATAAAATCACACAGGAAAAGGGGAAACAATGGAGCACCTTAGCTTTTGTCTTTATTCAAGACATCTTCAGAGGCAACTGAATTACAAAGACTAAGTGTCATGGTTTTCGGTATGAATCGGTGGTAGTAGGAGTGGATTATATTATATAAAGATAATAATATGTCGTATTTCTTATTTCTTACCGTAGAGTTCGATACCTTCACACTGGTTACTTACAGGAGATTATGGCGTATCTACGTAGAAGTTCACTCCACCACTCGACATTCCATGATTTATACTTGATAAATGATGATTTAATGAATTCATTTAATTTTCAACATCCATCTAAGTTATTGGTTATACTATGTCATAACCAATCAGTCATTACCTTTAGTAATAATAAGATAGGATCACAGATACGGGCAGATAATTGCACTTACATTTATTTGTCAAGCTTCCATACAATGATTTACAATTTGCATGGATATATGATTCACTCACGTTCACGCTGTAATAAAATTAATCTTCTAAAAGAGAATTTTAACTTGGGGACACATGTGATTACTCTACTATGGGTATAACTTAACAGAGCCTTAATTCTTCAAGTGATACATTTACTGCCAGCCTGGATTGCTTTGTTGCAACCAGGCTTCCGCACAAGGACTTCTTTCCACGGGCCACAGCAACAAAAAGTACTCTTGGGTTACCACACATGGTGTCGTGCAGGAGAACTCTGTAAGCGTGACTTGAATTAACCATCTAGGTGCAATAGACCAGCCTGGATTGCTTTTGTCGCAACCAGGCATCCACACGTGATATTTCCACGGGGATAACAACCTAGGTTAACACGCTTAGTCTCGTGTCGACCTTCCACGGCCATAACAACAAAAGGTACTCTTGGTTTACCACACATAGTCTCGCGTCACTGAGTCACGGTAGACGGTTGTCGCGGCAAGGAGAACTGGTAAGCGTGAACTGAATTAACCATTTAGGTGCAATAGACCAGCCTGGATTGCTTTTGTCGCAACCAGGCTTCCACACGTGATATTTCCACGGGGATAACAAGCCTAGGTTAACACGCTTAGTCTCGTGTCGATCACGGTTCACAGGACGGCGTGCGGTGGAGGACTCTGTGTGGTGTGGTGCCCCGCTCCCTTTCAGGAGGGAGAGAGTCAAGACGACTTCCTCACTAACCCATGGCTCAGGGGATACCACTCAAAATGAGGTTTTTGGGTGTGAAGCGATGAACAGTACAACACTGTTTCACTGCCCACCCCCCTAAAGGCTGGCTAACATACACTAATGGAAAATACATGTCCCAGTTATGCCTCGCCGGGCGTCTTATCTCTGGTAAAACAAACTTTGGAGTTGGTTGCGTGGGTAAGCCTAACGCAACCCATGACAGAAGGGAACATTGTCAACTAAAGCAAAGATTAATAAATGTTTGTATAGAATTAATTTCAACCAATTTCTTTTGTAAATTAGATACAGAATAATAGTGTATTTATTTCCGTTGACAAGGTCTCACGAGTTGTACACTGGTGCTGCAGTGGGTCACCCCTGCCTGTTAGAGATTATCCGAGGCACCCTACTGGCCTCCTGATCATGCTGGCTGGACGCAGGCCGAAGTACTGCAATGGGGTGTTATGGTAAGTTTTCTCTTCTCTTGGATGAGCTATGGGAGGCACATGACAATTCATCTTCTGAAAAAGCATTATGAGGCTACTGACTCATGACCAATACTAAGGACCTGCTGAGGTGACTTTGTAGAGGCTGATTGATAGCAAGATGGAGGTGTGGATGATGACAAGAGGGAGGTGTGGATGATGACAAGAGGGAGGTGTGGATGATGACAAGAGGGAGGTGTGGATGATGACAAGAGGGAGGTGTGGATGATGACAAGAGGGAGGTGTGGATGATGACAAGAGGGAGGTGTGGATGATGACAAGAGGGAGGTGTGGATGATAACAAGAGGGAGGTGTGGATGATGACAAGAGGGAGTGTGGATGATGACAAGATGGAGGTGTGGATGATGACAAGAGGGAGGTGTGGATGATGACAAGAGGGAGTGTGGATGATGACAAGATGGAGGTGTGGATGATAACAAGAGGGAGGTGTGGATGATAAGAAGAGGGAGGTGTGGATGATGACAAGAGGGAGGTGTGGAAATACTGTACAGCACCTCATCTCACATACTATAACCCACCAGAACATTGTCTTGTCCATATATACAATAAAGAGGTCAATACCATCTTTTAAATTAACTAATCCACTGAAGTGACTTGACTAGAAAATTACAGGGACTTGCTAGGTATTTGGGGTAACACATCAGCCATGCATTAATATTTTGTTATATAAGTACTGTAATTATCTCTATGAATATTGTATTAGATTTGAAAATGTTTGATATATTAACATTAACAATTTTACCAGTTTATGAGGTTACAAAAACATAATGTTATGAAGGGATATATTTGGCAGGGCACGAAGGCGCTGATAGCACTGGTGGTGGTGGCGGTGGTGGTGCCATTGATGGTGGGAGTGTTGATGGAGCTGGTCATTGTCATCCCCCTCCGTGTACCACTTCATCAGACTCCAATACTCTTCCTGTGGCAGGTAAGCCAACAGTTACTTCTGAGTACTATATTATTTAACCCCTTGAATACGATGCGTAAAACCCGCCGAGTACGGTGTCATCTTACTCGAGGGAATTGGTCATTGCATTCACAGGGTTAAGTAATTGTAGTCAGAGCATTATCTTACTCAATGGGAGCAATTCATTGTACTCGAGGGGTTAAAAGAAGAAGTACTGGGATTTATTATACTTCCCAGCCTTAGTGATGTGTTTGGTGAGTGGGAACTGTCAAGGTGGTAATCAGTTTGTCATCTTTTTGTGTACAGGACTGGGCTCTAGGAGTTCTCTATACCAAGATCATGTGTGCGCTGGTGATGATGGGGCCCAACTGGTGGCTGAAGACCAACCTAGAGCATATATACCTTGGGGGTGTGCGTGGTCTGGATCTTAACCTCCTCGTGGGTCAGACCGCACTCCCGGTCATCGCCTGTCTGGGAGCCTGTCTGACGGTACCTTACGTAACGGCTCACACTATCGCCCCTCTTGTTGCCCCTCCTACTTCTCTGGTAAGTGAAGTGACTCGGTTCACTTTATACCTGGATAAGTCTTGTTAGTTATCTCCTGGGTACTTTAACATGGCAGGTACTGTACCCTCTGTTGTTGTTGTTATTCAGAGTCTCTGTCAGGCTGGGCAGGTTATACTTGTCTTCTTTTACCCTGACAAATTTGGGAAGAAATGTTCTTGTTCGAATCTTTTATGAGAAATATTCAATAAACATTTTCAAGACATTCAAATTTATTGTGTATATCAACTCCCAGTTCACTTATGTCTGTCTTAATGCCTTTTACCTTCACCCTTCTCCTTCCAATGGTATTTGAAGAATGTGGTTCAATTTTCCATGATTCTTAATCACATTGATGTTTTCACTTCAGTTTGCAGCACAACTCTGCTTATATAACCATCAGTGGGAGCTTTCATATATTTTCAGGTCAGGTCATATTGGGAATAGAGGGAGGGCTAAGCTGTGATGTCACTGAGGCTGTAGCATGCACCTCTGCAGTCTTATGTCAGGTCATTGTGGGAAAAAAAAGGTCAGGGATCAGTAGGTAGTAGGCAGCTACCAAACAGGGAGGTACTACTGCCTGGGAAGATATTGGAAGCATAATGTATTGTCTAATGGTAGACCCTGCTGCCATATGGCATCACGAAAATTGTGACCAAGTCCCAGGTTGCTCATCTGACTTTCTGCCTCATTTACAACACAATTGCAGGGTCTCAAGTGTTTCTCTTACTATTGAAAACACAACATACATATATTGTTTCTCACTTTTGATCTTTTTTTCATTTTGTATTTCTTTTTGGTTCATTATTATTATTATTATTATTACAGTGTTGGTGTTGTTATTATTTTGTCTTTATTTTTTAATTTTTTATTATAGATTTTATTTACTGTGAATTATTATTATTATTACGTTTTCACCCCCCAGACCCCGATGTGGGTCAGTGACTTGTGCTCGGGTGGGTTGAACCCCGTAAAAAAAAAAAATTGCTACATCACAATAGGGTTTTAGGCCAAGCACACACACTGCCCCCCTCCCTCCCTCCCATCACCTCTGGTTAAACATGTACAGGGAGGTGAGATCACACAGCACCTGACAAATTCCTGTCTAGGTATTTTTCTCTGAAAATAACAACCGGTTTGTTGGGCAAGAACCGGGCACACGTATATAAAAAAATCACTTGTCTAGCCCCAAGTCCGGGTACTTCCAGGCTATCGGGCACTGCTAAACTGCACCACCTAGTCTGTCTGCGTACCAACATGTCACCTCTAATTCTTGTTGTCTCTTTAAATTAAACTTTATATGGAGATCTTTTAACCCATAAACAGTGGCTGTCATCTGTGGAAATTTCTTGTTCATTTACTTTCCATTATTGCACTCGTGGATAGGTAATACAACAACCTCAACTTATTAAGGATCAAGCATGAGTGATAAGAGAGTGTGGCATCAAATGGTTTATCAGGACCTTATGACAGGTAGACTGAGGCAACAGATGACAACAAATAACAAATGGGAATATTTTATATAATTGTGTTTAGCCCATCTTGCTATGTTGAAGGAAAGGACAGACAAGATAAAGAAGAAATATATATTATTCATTACAAGTTCTCTATATTTTTCTGTGGATAGTGAGAGGGTGGGAGGGACGTGTACGGGAGATGCAAGAGGATAGAAGGATAAAGATGGTGAATAGAGGAAATGGAAGAGATGCATTAGATAGAGAGAGTCAGCTTGCATCATGAGGGGGAGGACAAGGGGAAGGGATAGGGGGAAATAGAGTGAACAATTTTCATGGGAGATTATGTTACTGGTATGACAGCCTGGATGGTCCTCTGTAGGGCGCTGCAGGTGAGGCATCACAAAAAAATTACACTCCATTTTTATTGTCTGGAATTACTCCGGGCGAGAAGAAGACGAGCGATAAGGTGGATTTGTTTACCATACTGTTTTGTTTGTGTGTTCGTTTGTTAGTGTCTTTGCCGATGGGCTTGTCTGCTTCATGCCCAGAGCTCATTCTATCTTGTATATACAGAATGTCTTGGTAATATGCATACACACACACACTGCCTTACAGATTTTAATGGAGATGACATAAATGATTGTATGCCAACAGCAACACTTTACTCACCTGTTGGTGTATGAGGTCTCCCATAAGTCAGGACAGTGTTGCTGATGTAATACAATCACTCAAGTTGAACTCCACAAAAATGTGTAAGGTCATGTGTATGCATAGTTCTGAGACTCTCTGATACTGTACTGTATTATTGGTGTACAAATTTTTGTTTTGCAGATTTTGGTTGAGCGTCGCATCTACCCGGCCCTGCTAGTGATAACACTGTTGTCTAGCCTCATCATCATGCAAGTTGTACAATTCACACGCCTCTACGAACACATTAAAAATGACAAGTACCTGGTGGGGCGTCGTTTAGTTAACTACGACCACACGAGCAGCCAGCCTCCGCCGCCACTACAGGAGAATGAAGTCACTCCTTTTGTTAGGTGAAGGTGCCAAACAGGGTATGTATTTGATATTTATCATGAAAAAAAAAGAATTCTGTATATTGTCTGGTGATGGTGCCTGACATACCGTACATATTACATATATGGCGTAACTGTAATATTATACCTTGTAGATACAGTATATTCAAGTGGTCGGGGCGGTGCACTGCCGACCATCACGCCGTCACGAAGACTTTACATGGCGTGGATATGAGTGTGTCACGTTTTTAAGAGCACCCTCCAGTGTTGTTGTGAGGTTTAAGTAGTGCCAGGACTCACGATGACAGCGGTGGTGGGGGGGGGAGGGCGATGATGTCAGTGTGTGGTCCCATAGATGTGTGTGGAAACTGTTCATCATCTTATATTATACAAGAGAGGTAGAGGTAAAAAAAACACACCGGAAATGAAGAAAGGTAATAGAATTTTTTTTTTTTTTTTAGTTGTTGTGAACATGGTAAAAGGTCTTTTATCTCTGCAGTGTAGGGAAGACAATGTTTTAACTAGAATGATGGAGAATATTGGGTCTGTGAATAACATCTGTCAACTGTACTAAAACACGTGAGAGAATACCCGCATAAATAATCACAAAAAAGGCTGCAATTGGTATAATGTCTATGGTAGCAGTTGCCATATTGTCTATTATTTAGTGATTATTGCTCTCACTTTTAAAGAAGCTCAAACTGAGGAATAAGGTAAACACAAGTCACAATGTTCTGGTTTTCTCCTCCTTATGTTTTATCTCAGTATGGACCTTAGTTTTTAGAGGCTATTTTGTATTTGATAATGTACATTGGGTCATGGAAGTCTGCAATCCTAATAGGCCGAGACAATGGGTAATGCAATCTTTGTGTTCCTGCCATTGATTTATTGTGTGTGGTACCAACCCACTTTTACCTGTTAACTCCTCCTTGAGTACGATGGTGTAAGATCTTCGGTACGGTGACTTGACCCCAAGAGTACGAAATCATAATCCACATAGAGTACAATGACATCGTATTCTAAGGGTCATCATCATAATCAAAGGGACTAAATCATCATGCTGAAGGGATTAAGGCATACTCCGAGAGTTAAGTCATTGTACTCAAGTGTTTCAAGTCTGATATCATCCTCAATACATTTCTCACATCTATATAATTTGAAGCACTGTAGCCAATCACCTGAGACCTTCAAAAACATTCCTCTATTGGTTCACACTTTATAAAAATCTTTATTATATTTTCACATTATAACCTGGTTTTATCTTCCTGTCTCTACTAAGCTACTTGTTTATGTAGTGTGTAAATCTCTGTTCTTATTCCACTGTTGACTGTGGTAGGCAGAATCCTTTCAGTATCGTACACAAACGTCAAAGGTACCATATTGGCTATCAGGAATTATGAACTATATACTGTATGTATTTAAGGTTATTTTGTAATGTTATACAGTTTGTATTGTTTAACAAATACAAAATGGAATTCTAACTTTAGTATTATTTTATTTACATGTACACTCACTCCAAAAAGTATCTTTACAGAGAGGTTCGATGAATTTCAAAATAAACACTGTGACTCTTGTTGTCTTGGTAGGGTTGTCAAAATCCTCCGGCCATTGTGTCATATTGCCTCACTCAAAATCGTACAGATATACTTTTTGGAGCGAATGTACAATGGGTAATTTTGTAAAAAGTTCAACTTTAAAAAAATAGGGAAAATTTTGGCTATTTTTCAGTAGTTTAAAGGTGGCATAGTGTTATTTGTGGAGCCTGTGTGTATCTATCAGCCTAACAGTCTGTGCTCTGCTAAACAAAATCATCTGACACTATCTAAATAAAATATTAAAATTAACATCCCTGTAGTGAAGAGGTAATTTGCTTAAGGGTCTCTCCTAAACTTTGTACTTTTCTTTTCTTTTTTTTTTGTGGGTAGGTTTAGTTATCATGATAGCACACACACACAAGAATATTAAAAGTAATGTATCACTCCAGAAAAATATTTACACGACAAACTAAACAGTGAGAATGGTGGTATGAGTGTTAAACTTGTAGGAAATAATTCTCGGTACAGTATACAGCACAGTACTGTATTCTTGTGCAATTGAAGGTGTCATTAGTTGAATTTAAATTAAATCATACAGTAATTGTATTAACATAATGCATTTCAGATACAGTACATATATTGCAAAAACCCATACAGTATAGTATTGTGTTGACATCTGTATTTCAATCATATGGTAACACTAATTAAAATTATTTGTAGATTGAATTAAATAAATAACATTCAGAATTGTTGCAGAGTGAAGAGACTTAAAATACTATATATTTCTTAACAATTAGAATATTAAGACCTGTTATGAGATCTCGGTATTAAGCTTCAGAACCACCAAAATGTTCACAACTAAGAAGATCCAGCATGATTACTGTATTAAATCTTATAAGAATTTGTTGCTTTATGTCAGGTTAATGTACTGTAGTCTGTATAAGCTAATCGTAAAGACATTGTGAGAGTACTGTAGTTATTGGAAAATTATAATACCATATGTGTGTGTGTGTGTGTGTGTGCGTGCGTGCAGAATAACAACGGCCCAAGGATTTTTCTTCTAAAATATCCATAACAAAATAGAACATATCAAAGTTTTATTTTCTGTTGGACGAGTCAACTGACAAGTCGAGTGTCTGTGTGTGTGTGTGTCTCTCACATGTATTCAGCTTGTTAATTTGACTATTTTTAAATCTGTTTTTAATTATCCACTTCCCAGGCCGCTATATCATGTATGGACAGTAATTAACTAATAATGTACAGTACTTTGTTTACCTACCAGCTTGACTTATAGCACACAGATACAGCTCCTCCCCAACTTACGACGTAGTTAGGGACCCAAATCCAGGTCGTAAGTCGGAAATGCTTAAATAATACATAGACAATCTAAAATGGGTGTCTCTTTTTCTTCTCAACACCACAAAACTCTCACTTTTAAGCTTGCCAGCCATTTTAAAGTGAATTACAAACGAAAATTTTCTCTGTGTACTGACGTTGGGACTCGAAAATACGTAATTTGACAAAATTTTGGTACGACTGAGGCGGGTCGTAAGTCGGGGAGGAGCTGTACTAGTAGATCATGATGTCTTTTAATACGGAAAATATAACACAACTTGTTGATATGGCGGCACCACCCACCTGGAAGACACAAATGGGCGGATCATAATAGATTTGCTTTATGGAACATTTAACGGGGTTGCTGAGATGGTCAAGACTCGTGTGGTGGTAATGTTACTAGCCATGTTATTGACATTTAAAAGTGGTAAATTATATTCCTGGATACAAGTAACATAACAAACAGCAAAGTCATATTCTTTTGTTAGACTTGGGAAAAAAACAGTAAATTGAGGAGTTGTGTTTGATGGTGTAGTAATAACAACAGTATATTATGGTATTTGGTTTTCATTTTGTGTAGTTTTTACAGCTGATTAAAATAGTGTAACGTGATCAGTGCTCTAAAAACTCTATCCTGTTATATTGGTTTAATTACAGTTTTATAGAGACAAGTATGGTCTACAGTGGAGCCTCCATATAATGCACTTTAATCTAATGGACTATTATAAGGAGGTTTCATATATAACAGAACTACCCACTTACCATAGTTCATTATAAGGAGGTTTCATATATAATGGACTACCCTCTCTCATATAGTTCGTTATAAGGAGGTTTCACATATAAAGGACTAACCTCACATACAGTACAGTAGTTCGTTAAATAGGGTTCTCACTCTAGTTCTTCTCCGTTGACACACAATATTTTCTCTCGTTGATTTATCCTCTGTTGTTTTGTTCTGCTGCGGTTCATTACACTTCGGTTGATTTTAGGCAAGATGTAAAGCTGATAAAACCACTTCACACTGATAGTAATTATTCTGTTGTTTCTGGTTGACAAATTGGCTGTGTTAATCCCCTTTTTGCCACCGGCCAGTCCGTTATGTCTCGGCCATCGTACCTGCGTATCCCGTTGAGTGTACTGTCGTGGACAAAATTCCCCGGACCACTTGGCAGTACATTACAGTATCTGGCACGTAAGGACTTGAGGAGGTTTGTTAGGTGACGGGAGGATTGGGATGTTTACACATTTTCTTAGAATTTTCTTGGTGTTTAGGAGTGTTTTAGTCGGGAGGATTGGGATTTTTACACATTTTCTTAGAATTTTCTTGGTGTTTAGGAGTGTTTTAATACAGGTTGTGTTGTTAACGTAGAGTAATATGTAATGAAAGACTAGTCATTACACCTATAGTAGACCCATCATATACACAACCCAGAATTAGATGCTGGATATTGTCAAGTGTTCGGGGAATTATGTCCACAACTGTACTTGTTAGATGGGTACGTATGACAGTGCTAATTGGTGCTTATTTAGTCTGATATGTTTTAGAATTATTAAGTAAAAAAAAGAGTCAAATCCAAAATAAAGCTGATTTGAAATTTCAGAAAATATTATTACATTACATAAGTTTAATTGAGTTTGTGATATATTTACTGTACTCTTTTATTTCATGTAATATCTAGAGACAATATCTTTCATGTGAGAGATGCAGAATTACTCTCGAGTAATATCAGAGTCATAGATGATCATTATGTCAACTTGAAGAAATTTATTAGACACGTTTCTTGAATGTTAATTGCATATGAACATTCTCGTAGGGGTGGTGAAGCCTCGTCAGTCACATACAGTACAGTACCTCATTACAGTCGGCCCTTAACATACGCGGGGGTTAGGTAACAGAGATACCCGTGAATGTTAAGAATCCGTGTACTTTTGCTCCCCCTAAAAACACCCCTGGCCCCCCATGTCCTTATTTACCATATATACCTGTGTGTAGTTCGAGTTTTTAAGATCAAATTTTTTGGCAAAAAATTGGGGGTCGACCTCTAAACGGGTAATAGTTTCGTTAGGTTGAAAAATATTTACCAGTAACTACCAGTAAACAATGGAAACAACGCACCAACGCACCACTAGCTGTGAGTGTCGGTACAGTTGCCAGAGCAGATCTCTTGCGTCATCATAGCAAGCCCAAAGTAGCCAAATGCATGGTATGGTAGCACAGGACGATGTAAAATATAAAGTATTCATTTTTTAAAGTTTATTTATAGATACTGTACATAAATTTTTGTTCATTACATTTGAAACATCAATCTTTGTTAATTAAATTTGAAACAAAAGAAAACTATGATACCATATTTCTAAATACCGGGTATTTTCATTAAAATTTTACATCACAAGTATATTTTACCTTAACTGTGACTGAATGAATATATTCTCAGAAATAAATATTGAAATGTAATATTTTTGGTGAAATGACGTACGTATTACAGTGGAAAGTGGGATAAAATCATGACGAAAACAATGACCTTCGCTTTCTTTCGTTGTTCAAAAGATTTTACCATAATCGCTCTTCGAATGGTTTTCAGTTAAAAAAATGTTGTATGTATTACAATAATATTCTATCCTAATTCACTTGAATATATACTACGATACCATAATTTCTGAATATTTTCATTAAAATCCATCAAAATCATTTTCCTTGTCATCGTCTTCAGCACCAAACAGCTCCTCCCAGTCTTCTCCTTGAACAGGGCTAGAGGGTACGTGTTTTTCTAATCGTTTTCAGTTAAAAAACTGTTACATGACATGTAAATTTTACCTAAACTGCGCCTGCATGAATAAATTCTCAGAAATAAATAGTAGTTTTGCTGAAACGTGATATATTTCAATGTAAAATAGGATAAAATACATGACGAAAACAAAAGACTTTACCTAACCTTCCGATGTTCAAGAGATGTTACTCGTTTTTTTAATAGTTTTCGGTTAAAATACTGTTATATTAGTGATATTCTATTCATACTGTGCTTGATATAATACATTCATGGAACTGTAATAGTTTTGCAACTACAATGCTGATGTCAACACAAGCGTGGTTACAGCGAGACTGACTGACTGAGGGAGCGCGGGGTGGCGCAGGCGATGTGTGTGTGGTGTCGCGCGCGATTTGAATAATGTATATTCCTTTGAATGTATATTCCTCTAGCGGCAATCAGCGTATTTGCAAATCCGTGTAAGTTAAACCTGCGTATGTTAAGGGCCGACTGTACTTGTTCTGTGTTTTATGTCATTTCTGATTTCCTCTTGCTGAAGTGGCCATCATTTTTTACACACCTAACCTAAAGCTAACATAAGCTGACCAAATCTAACCTAACCAAATCTAATATAATCTAACCTAACCTAACCTTACCTTGTGACATATATACAGTGTTCCATTTATGTTAGATCTTGTGTACACTTGAATGACTCAGAGATGATAAACTCTTGAAGTATTTAGTAAGTTATTGTGTCTATCTCATCTATTTTTCATATGGAGACACAGGGTTATATATATATGCATTGTTTTCATCTGTGAGGCGTGTTTATCGATTCCATATGCATTATATCATTTTCACCAC